TTGGTGTTTTTTGCCATGGCTTTTGGTGCAGTGGCGTGCAAACAGGCCCCACTTTTCAAGCGCGACAACCAAACGTGATCCAGGGAGAGCTTTTCATTAGCAGAAGAAAATGAAATAAATGAAGAATAATGTTCAATCTTAAAAATAAATTAACATTAATTAATCGCTGACTAATGCAAGGTTCCCAGCATTAATCATTCACTCTGACTGTAATCAGAACATCAGCCAGGCGAACGACGTGTGAAACTCCTGAGTGTGATGTTTGCCGTAGCCCCGCAAACGCGACGGCTGCTCCAGGAGACCCCGCGCGGGTGCTCTGCTCGCTCCTCCCAGTGTCCCTGGGAGAGCTCCAGCTCCGGCCGCCTCTTAGGGCGATGCAGGCAGGATGCCTGCCCTGCAAACCCCGGCCGCTGGGAGCCACAGGAGGGAGGACCACAGCCTCTCCCTCCCCACAGCCGTGCTGCATAAGGGCCAGGGGGATTTTTATTCCCTGTGCTTTATGGCTGACAACATTCCTGCCAAGATGTTGGAGCCATTTGGAAAGCAGGCTATAATTCCCTAGAGCTTTTTGGTGTTTCAGACATGTTTCAGAACAGAAAATACAAAAATGTTGATGGAAGAGAACTTGCTTCTTTAAACTAAAATTTTGAATGTGAGATATCAATGGCAAACAGCAGATTTTACCAAAATGAAAGAAAAATAAATCAGTGAAGAGACAGAAAATACCTATCTGGTTAATTGAAAAAACCAACCAACCAAAAAAACCCCCAAACCAAAACCCAACAAAACCCAAACCAACCTCATTTAAAACACTGGGTGCTGTGATCCTGACATGAAGCCATTGGAATGCTGGTGGGGTTTGCTGACAGCCCCGTTGTTCCCACGGCCACAGCACGTGGTGTCTCAAACTGGACCCTTGCAGGACCACAGGAGACTGAGTATGGCTTAAGAGGAGTGATGCAAAAATGGGGAAAGCTCTAGGGAAGGGGGAGTGCAAACCTTTTTATTTAGGTGCTATTTAGTGTCTTAAGTTGGGTGAAGTGGGTAAACCTCCAATTTCTCCTGTGGTTAGAGCGTGGTGCAGGCTAGCCCGTACTGTCAGATGGCTTTTGCTTGAAAGCTCGAACCATATCAGCAGCTTTCAAAAGCAAACCAGAAAGACAATTGGCAATGGTTGGTACAGCTGAGAGGGCATTTAGGGGACACGTTACTAGCAGTAGGACTACCTTTAAGACCATTTTACTGCTTAGGCATCCCTGGCATGGTACTGCAGCTTGTTCTGCATTTCGGTCCTTCACCGGGGTCTGTGCATGACCAGAAGCCTTCCCATCACAGGGCCGATCGCTCAGCACCCTTCTGCAGTGCGAAGTGCAGGTTTTACAAACTGCATTTTGGGTGGAGAAGAGGTGGCTATTAAACGTCCAGCTACTTCACTGCGGTTTTACGTGGATAGCTTTACTAAGGCTTTCTCTGCGCCTTCGAAACTGAGATCCAGCCTGTGTGCACCCAGCCACCTCGCTCCTGGCCCTGGGGCAGCAGCTTTGCCTGCGCGGTGAGAGCCGGGAGGCTGGGGAGGTTCCAGCCTCCTGCCCCGAGGGGGAGGCCGGTGCCAGTCTCGAGAAGCACGGCGTGTGCCCGAGAGAGGTGGACCAAGGGGATGAATTCAATGATCAGAGAGAGCAATCCGTTATAGCCCTTCATCTTGTTCTGCCTTGCCCCCTTCCTTGAATAGTGAGACCATCTTCATTGGTTTTGGGAACAGAGAACTGGAAAGCTTGGCCAGCTTGGGGCTGGGCCTTGATGAATTGGGCGAATCCATTTTTATTTTCAAGTGCTCTTCAGCGTTGGCGGGAGCTGAAGGTGCGTGACTGTGAGCTTACCCGGTGAGCAGCCATCAGCACGTAGCAGCACTGCACGCTGTCCTTTGGATGCTGGTCTGATTAGCAGAAGGATCTCGGAGAGGAGAGGGTGCCTGGCCATTGGGATGTGACTGGAGTGGGCATGGTGGTGTGCTTTGCAAACTAAAGTCACTCTCAGTAAAAACACAACTGTAATGCGGAGGAACATATGGTGTGGAGCACGGGAAAAAGGTTTCCAGCTGAGTCCGTGGGAGGTTTGTCCGCATCCAATTGGATGTGAATGTTAAAAAAGGAAGAGAAGCAGCGATGCTGAATTGTTGGATTTTAGCTGATGCAAACAGATGTTCAGTTCGGACATCTGGGATGCCGCCTGCGTGCACGGGAAGACGTGCAGGCAGGGAAAACGTCTTTCCTAGGTGTCACGTGCTGGGACACAGTGGCTAAAGTTGAACTCTGATGCCAGTGGTCTATATCATATCCATTTAAGTCCTTTTCTCCCTGTATTCAGACAAAATCTTATAAAAATTCTACTCCTCATGCGTATAACTTTATGTTGCTTTTAGATATCCTGCAAGAAACGTTGGTAAAGAAACCCAACATATGCTTTTTATACCGCAAGTGATATTTTATAGACAGAGGAAAAAGACTGAAAAACCAAAAAGTCTCTTAAGTAACATCAGCAATGGAGCAACATCTGTAGAAGCTTTGCTTTTTGTAGAAGCGCAGAATATGCTCCTTCTGATTTTTAGTCAAAAAAGCAGTTGTTGGCAAGTTGGAATACAAACACTTTTGCTGCAGATGATAATTTGCATTTTATCCTTTCTTTTATTTGTAATTAAAACAAACCGCGCTCGGCTGTCGCAGTACGGCTCGGTGTGTGGGCCTGTATGTTGTGTACTGGGGGCTTGTCTAATTAATAATGGTATGCAGCACCTATAAAGTCAGCCTGGTTAACTGTTCCACTTAATATAATACCATCCGAAGAATAGATGAATTAAGCTGATAAGCAGCTGAGCAAGCTCCGTTCACTGCTTTGTATAAATGAGAAGAGAGCGATCCTAAAATGTCACCAATCATTTGTTACAACAGCAACCGTAGGCACAGACAAATCGGGAATTTCAATTATTTTTGAAGGCCAGGGTGCCCAGCACTTTCTGTGCAACCGCAGTAGTTGGTGTTAGCTGAAAGTCATCCCTAAGGTAGATTAAAAATAAAGAACCCTGATAAATTGGTGTAATCGATCTATTTGTCTTTGAGAGTGGTCGCCAAGCTTTGCTGGCCCCTAGGCCAAATACTGAGCAAGTAAATCATGTACCAGTGGTCAACACCATGCTGTGTTCTTCCCCGCAGCCTCAATTTTAACTTTTTTAATTTTCTGGGACTAGAGGACTGGAAGGTCTTGCTGGCAATGTGCTGTCCACAAGCTACAGATCTAAAATAAATCTGACAAGGCTTTGTAGACAACTGCTGTCTTGCATTAAAAACCTGAAGCACCCCAGCTTTCAGCTGGATTGGCCACCTCTGGCTGTGAAACCAGCGGGCGTGCAAAGGAGCGACACGACGCCTGCAAAGGAAAGACCGTGCAAAGGGATGGGGGATTCAGTTCCCCAGCATCCACGGTGACAGCCCGAGCACCCGCTGAAAGTTTAAGGGATTGTTTAAGTTTAACGATGCCTAGCAAGTAAGAGCGGGACTGCGCCCGGGCCCGGATTCAGCAGCCCCCCCGCGCAGGGTCCCGCTGGTGCCGGGCCTCGAGCAAGGGCCACGAGTCGCCTTTCGCTCTCGGCTGACGCTGAATGAAGCTAATCAGATCTTAAATAAGTCATGGGTTATAGTTTATTATGGTTCATAACACATCAGTAGGTGTCGCCTTTACAAACAGGAACGTGTCCCAAATTGTTGGGGTATTCAATAATTACGGTTGGTTTGGATAAATTCCCTTATCTGCGGGGTCTTCAGCAGCCGTTTTGTTTTACAGGCCGGCTGTCGTGGTTGTTGATGTACAGACGTACAGACAGATGTACAGATGTAGCGTGCGTTCTGTGGAACTGCTGCGTTTGCTCTCCTCTGCTGCTGACCTCTGTGGGAACCGAAGGCGCCGAGCCCTTTGCAGTGTTGAGCCTGGGGAAATATAATGTTAATTCTTCTGAGGAGGCAGGAGAGTTAATAAATATTTGTAGGAATGCTGTGCGGAGACAGAATATGAGAATGCTTGTACTGAGGCATGAAATACTGACCTTTCCGCAGCCTAGAACTCTCAAATCATTATATATGATCATGTTTGTGTATATTGCAAATCTTTTCTTTCCCTCTTTGGCATCTCAAGTGAGAATTATGGCAGGTTCCTTAATTTAAGGAACATTCCCAGACTGTTACTCAAACAATTGCATAATGTGTTTTGGGATTAACATACTGTCAGCTTGATAACTGCTTAGGGACCTTTGTTATCAAGGAGAAAATAGCCCTGAACGATATTCGGGTCTCTCTGTTATAAAAAGTACCCGTCAGCCTCCTTTGGCACTCTGCCGTGAGAAAGAAAAGCAAGAGCTGGTTTGTCCACGGGAAGGCAGAGCTTTAAGACAGGGCTGAAGTATGACCAGGTTGTCCTGGTGGGACAGAGATGGCCACGCTCAGCAATCTTCATGACTGTTCATCATCAGAAAGAATCAAAATCCCCCACCTTTTGGTTAAATCTGGAGTCACAGTTTAATGTTTAAGAGCTTCTTCATCCTTCAAAAACTGATGAAAGCTCCTTCTGGCTTTCAGCCAGCGATGACGCTGAGGTTTAAACTCTGTTGCATTCAGGATCCCAAATAACCTGATGCTGGTAAAACCAGAACACCAGTAAAAAGGACCTGGCAAGAAAAATGGTTTGTGTGTGCTGCATTGGATTAAGGAAGAAACTATGAATGTGCACATATGCAGTTGTTTTCAATTGATTAATGATTATTTTGTGTAACATGAAGTCATGAAAAGGTTGTTTCTTTGAGTTGTACGTTGTAAAGAAACGTGGTGGAGAAATATAAATGGATACAAGATGAAGCAAGGCTCAGCTGAAGCGAAGTGCTTTAGCTAACTGCTGCAAGAAGTGCAATGAGTATATGAATATGTATATTTATCAGAAATTATTTTTTTCTACAGATCCCACAAATCAGTTATGCCTCAACTGCACCAGAGTTGAGCGATGACAGGCGCTATGATTTCTTCTCACGTGTGGTTCCTCCAGATTCCTTCCAAGCACAAGCAATGGTGGACATTGTGAAAGCTTTGGGATGGAATTATGTATCCACTTTGGCATCTGAAGGGAATTATGGAGAAAAAGGAGTCGAGTCCTTCATGCAAATTTCCAGAGAGGCAGGTAGGCAACGCCCATGCTCCCTCCAGCAAACGCTATAGAAGTAATGAATGTTATTTTGTACCAAATGTTACGTTATTTTTCTGGAACATATATATTTGATTCTGAAGTCGCTCCAGTTCTTTGCAATGCCTCTGTAATGGCTCCTAGATACTCTCATTCCTAAATTGCTTTTGGAGTTTCAGAGACTTTGAAACCTTAGTGGTTTTCAGTCATTTCTGGAGAAAATAGAAAACCCTGAGCCTTATCAAGCTCCTACTATTCCACTGGACGACATTATATTATGTTGACATGGGTAGAAGACAGATTTTAAAATGCTGAGCTTTTATCTCTCCACAGCTAGAAATTCTGTGAAGACTGCTTGTTACCAGTCATTGGCTTGTGTCGTACTATTGCTGTTGACCTTTCAGATCGCTGCCTGATTTGTATTGCTTTGCCTTTGCATTTTTCTTGACCAATTCAGTGGAGAAAATTCATAATATTTTACTTGAAGGCTCAAAGATTACTGGCCTGGGATATGGAGGCAACAAACTCAGTAGTATGGTGTGAGGCACGTCAGACCTTTGGTGTTTTTCTTGTTACTGGTTTCATTTAGCCGTGTCCCCAGAAGGCCAAAGTGTGTCGAACAATGTCGTTGTTGGCGAGAGGTGTTCCAAGACTACAGGGAAATGCTGTGTCTTGCGCTGGGTCAGGCTTATGGTATTGAGCTGAACTGTCATAATTTTGTTGACAAAGCTCTAATTTTACAGCTTGCTCTCCTGTTCTGGTGGAAAACAGAGAGCAGACCTGTCCTGAAGTTGTGACTGGTGTGTCAGTGTGCTCGGACCCTTATCCCGGTACCTTGTGCTTCAGGGTAAATAGAATCATAGAATGTTTTGGTTTGGAAGGGACCCCTAGAGGTCATCTAGCCCAACCCCCAAATATTTCTAGATTTCCCCAGAGATGCCAGAACATAGGAAGACTTCAGCTGGCACTTCAGGGAGTACGGGTATAAATCCATGGCAAGCTGATTTGCAATCTGGAACCGTAAAGGTTTGCAAATTGAAATATTTGCAGTTGATTCCTGTAGCAGTAAGGAAAAGTAAGCAGAAGATTGTCATTTGTTATTGGTGAGATAGGCAAGGCCCATCTCCAGAGCGTACAATGATAGATCCTGATCGGGAACCCATCATCACTGTGCAAGTATAAGCCTTCGTATTCCTCAGACGAGCTCTCAGATCTCCCACCCTGTAACTGCCCTGGCACTGCGCTAAATAAAAACGGCACAACGTGACCCACAGTTCACTTAATTACATAAATCACCAGCCAGATTAGTAAGCGCGTGAAGGGAAAGGACGGGGACGGGACAGGCGTTGATCTGGAGCAGCCATCAGAGGTTTCCATCCCCTTGGTTGTTACCAAGCTGGTTCCCCAGCGCGTGCTCTGGTTTTGCAA